CGGAAACAACTGGGAGTGTGTAAAAAAAGAAGGAGGATGTAGGATCATTTCAGTATTTAATTTATACATTAATAAATTGGTGTTTAAAGATTTTATTACTTAAGTATAATTACTGTGTACCTTTGTCTGATATGTAAATTCTGTGCGAAGGAAGCTATTTGCAAATTTGAGGGAGAAGGATGTAATGATAATTGTAAAATTAAAATAAAGTCAGTGCTGGCCAGAACACCGTGTTTGATTGACGCACGACACACATGACACACGGAATATCAACGTAAAATAGCAGCTTAATGCTGATGTGTTTCATATGGAAACGAGGTATTCTTTTTAGTCCTCAGGGGTGACAACGCATCTGCATTTTGAATCTTAATCGAGGATAAATGTTGATGTCTATGGGCCACAGCATCCACTTACCATCAGGTGGACTGTGTGCTCGTTTGTCACCTTCATTCTATAAAAAAACCCACTAACGTGTCGTCGGCATAGCAATCGATATATACGCCAGCGGGAAGTTCAACTCGCAGAACCGCATCATAGGCGATGTTCTACAGTATCGGCCCCAGCACCGAGCCTTGCGGAACCCCACGCCTGATCTATCCCAGATTCTTCTACCATTTTGCCTTATGTCAACAATTCGTCTATCTCGTCGGCCACTTGGTGCCTACATAACGACGATATTCATCGTAGTCATCGATTGGCATTCGCCTATTGAAAGAAATACGCATGTTCCCCGCTCGCGTTTACAACATAAGGTACGTGAGGGTGATATGGTCACCTTAAGCTCTGCCGCCCTATAAAACCTAAACTAGAAGGAGGACAGAGACAAAAACACAAAGTTGTTTAATATACCTAATATATTAAGAAAAAAAACAAGCTTTGGCAATAATCGTGAACACTTCGATAAGTCAACTTAAAAAAAAACTCACTACACTACACCATACTAAAATCGACTAAAATATTTACCATAATGTTAACTTAATTATTTCTTAAATTCACGCGAACACTAAACATTACGGATTTTATCGCGTTTAATTACTTTAATTTATTTTTATTATTCCGACGTTTCGGGTGCTTTAAACACCCATAGTCACGGAGGGGACTGAGATGTTTGACGTCCCAATGTCATAGTTAGTCCGGCTACCTTCAGTTTTTGAGTATTAATTTTTGGTCTGATTTACGCAAAACGAGCTTATAGTATCATGAAGTCTTGCAGTGGTATGCTTGGGTTTGGGTTTAATTATGTTAATTATAGGATCCCAAGCAGATGGCAGCCTTCCTTCCCACCCATCTTCTCTATTGAAATTTGGATGTCTTTTAATTTCAAAAGCCTCACGTATCATCCTTGGTAGGAATCGGTGTTCTTTTGCGAGGATTTATGGTTTATCAAATCGAATGTAATGGTGGGGACGATCTTGAACATGTTCGCAGACTGCAGACTTCCCGGAGCGTCGGTGCTTCACGTCAGCTATATGTTCCTTCACGCGGGTTTTTATAGATCTTTTTATTTAACCTATGTAAGAGAGACCACATTCACAATCTAGCTTGTACACACCTGCATCTTGTAGAGGAATATTACATTTGATGGATGGTAACAATTGACCAATCTTCTTCGACGGCTTGTAGCATGTTTTAATGGAAGCTCGCTGCAAGATGTAGCCAATCTTGTCTGTGAATCCTCTGACATATGGTAGTACAGCAGGCATGCGCTTGACTGTGGCCGGCATCACTCGTTCACTGTGACGTAGGCGCGGGAACCGAAGCTTGTTGCCTTGCAATACTTGCTTGACGTGCTGAAGCTCGGCGGCCAGGTGTTTGCTGTCACAGATCCCTCGTGCTCTCTGAAACAAAGATTTACCCACGGTAGCTAACTGTGAAGGATAATGGTGAGATTCACCATTTAGATATCGGTTGGTATGGGTCTTCTTCCTATACACAGTGTGACCAATAGTTGTTAGATTTCGGATGACTAAAACATCTAGGAAGGCTAAAGAATTATTTGCCTCTAACTCCATTATGAATTGTATTTTAGAGTTTATGGAGTTAAGGTGGTCTAAAAATGCAGTTACTTTGTCAGGTGGTAAAATTGTGAAAGTGTCGTCTACGTACCGCTTGTAGAACCTTGGATTTACAGGAGCAGTAAGAAGGGCACCAGCCCATCGCCACACCATCTACTTGCTTGTAGAACTCCTCCTTCCACAATAGGTAGCCAGATGTGAGGCAGTGTTCAAGTAATATTACATATTTTTGAGGCATGGTATTTTCGTCCAGCTTCCTAGTTACAATTGGGATGCAGTCAACAATAGGTAAGCATTTAAATAGTGACTGAACATCAAAACTGACCATAGTTTCATTGTTAGCGAGATGTAGGTCTTTTATCTCAGTCACAAAAAGGTACGAATATTTTGTGTGTACTCTGGTATGTCCTCTCAGTTGTGATAGTATTTTTGCTAAGTATTGTGCCAGCTTATAAGTTGGATAATCGATCTGGCTCACTATAGGACGTAGTGGAGCGTTTGATTAGTGTATCTTCGGTAACCCATACAACCTCGATGGTTTGGTACAATTAACGTTATTTTTTAAAAATTCTTCACACGAATAAAGTGTACAGTAGTAACGCATATCGTCACGCCTGTAGTCCCCGAGGGAGTAGGCACAGCCCATCAACATCAATCAACGATATACTCTGACCATGCTTAGCCAAAAAAAATTAAATTAGATGGAAAATTATAAAAGAAGCGATAGAAAACTAACACATCGCTTATACAATCACAAATCTAATATTCCATTCATATAACTGCCTCTTTGGTCTAGTGGTCTCAAATGCGACTGATATTCATCAGTTGTTAGGTTTTATGTCGAGAAATTCTCAGCAGCAGCTCGGAGTCAGGAAATTGGCGGTGTTTCACCCGGTGCCTCGGATTTCACGTAAAGCTGGAGGTCCTGCGCCAGATCTCTCTCCGGTCGTGTCGGATTTCTATGCCTTCGGCCTATGAGAGTTAAGGAATAGAGAGTGCTACGTAGTATCTACTACAATCCTGTCCTGTGCAGATCGCTTGTCTCCGTTGAGACGGACGCCATGACCGAAATTCGATCTGGAGGAGATTTTATTAATATCTTATTAGTCTTCTTTACGAAATAACACATGTTTTTTTTTCTATTTTATTACGTTCCCATTTTATTAACTCACTTTCGGGAATTTCGAGTCGAATTTAGTAATTGATTTTAAACATATGAACGAAACATGAAATGATGAATATAGCTCAGAATTCGGTGAAAATGTAAAAATATGACAAGAAAAAACGCGCTATATTGAAAAAAAAAAGTAATTTTCATAAACTTTACTGGTTATAGGTCCTACATCAAGATTGTGCTCCATACCAGCAATAACTTTAAATAATTAAAAAAATCAAAGCATGCGCATTAGTGACAGACAAACTTATATGAAGTGATGAACATCCGTTCGTAACGAGCTTAATGTAGGTCGTGTCGTGACTGGGACACGATACGAGTGATGACTCACTGTCTATCGGGGCATGAGATTTTCGAGACCTCGTATGCTGATGTTCTTTATTTATAGAATAAGAGACCTGATGGTAAGTGGATGCTATGGAACATAGACATTTATGTCTATCCTCAATAATAATCAAAGTCAATGCAGATGCGTTGTCACACCTGAGGACTAAGATAGATTGCCCCTTTTCCAGTAAAAAGGATCACTGGTTCTCTACACTCACCATAAAAACATTGAGCTGTTATTTTACACTGGTATTCTGTGAGAGCGTGGTCGTAACCCGGCTGAGCCGACCCATTCGTGCTACCATAACATGGCTGCAGCGTGGCTCTACCGCGTATAAAAATCTCTTCGGTGATGATGGTAATGTATCAGCATAGCGTGATTTCTGCTTCAATTGTTGTTCGGTCCAGGGGATCCAGGTGTGTTATTTCAGCACGGTGACGATCAATATCCTGCTGATATTCCCTGTGATTGTCGCTTTTTTCACACACGGAGTAAAATGGCGTGATGTATCCTGTGCGGCCTCCACGTCTCATCTATCAGCTTGCGACCATCATCCATATGAGACAGTGGTCAGCACGATATGTATGTTATTACTATAATGTGAACAGTGCTGCGGCTTGTGCTTTTTCTTAGTTGACAGTACTAATAAATTAATATTTCTAATAAATAATAGGGTTATGACGAGCTATGTGCTAGCTCAGGTACCAATGAAATTGTTAATTGCAATTTTAATTGCTGTTTTATCACGTGCTCGACGGGTTTAGAAAAACATCGAGAGAAAACCAGCGTTTCTCACAAAAGAAAAAAATATTTGGAAGACGTGAAGTCCGCTAACACGAATTGGGACAGCGCGGTGAACTTTTCCTTGCCTTTAACATATATAGGCTGAAACTTACAAGAGAATAACGTATTTTTCAGATCTTCTAGCTTAGTCGGAACACACTGTAAAATCAGAATAGCTTATCTAAGCACAGGTAATGATATAAGTATTTGAATGTACCTACTTCCACGGAAACGATAGCGGCACATTCCAGTGATGCTTTGAATGCTCCAAAATTATCAATGACTAAATATTAGTCAACACGTCGATAATGTTCGATACGAGCGATACGTTGCGATAAGCAGAGCAGCAGAAAACAACGCGTCCGACTCTGCAAAAATTTTTATTGCTAAATCAGAACATTTTAAAGGATTAGTTTCTCTATCTATACTATAACATTTTGTAATTTCTAAAAAAGACGTTATTTACAATAAAATGAGCTAATTATGTAACTAAGCAGGAGGTTATCAGTGAGTTCGGCTTCGCCTTCAAAACTTTGCGTAGGCACAAGTTGGGTATTTTGCGTAGTTGAATGTGGATGTTGCTATCAATCCGGAAAACAAACGTAATGGATGGTGAGCCGAGACGAATTTATTGAGGTTTTACTCAAAATCTCGTTGTAAAGAGTACTTGTGTACTATGTTTATCTTGCGCGTGTATGCCATGCTGGTGGCGGTCAGCGCTGCACGCTCCGCACAGACTACCGTCGTACAGATGCAGTGAGTATTCCACTTCAATCTTGAGAGTTCGCACAAACCAAGTGTTTAGAAGCCAGATTCAGTACATTTTTTAGAGTAATATACATACTTTAATCAAAAAAAAAATTCCACAATCATACCTTTTGACTCATGTTTGTTAATAATACATATTTAGTTGATAGAAGAACTAATTTTACGCTTGTAAGTACTAGGTGTTCCAAAAGCTTTGAAAATATTTGTTTGAAAATAAAACCGAGTGCGTCTTGCAATTCCAGGTTAGAGTACAACGAAGAGTACGTGTTGCAACTCAACGATACCGTCGAGTACATTCTGGACTTCACGCCGGTGAGTGTGCTATATATATAGTTTACTGACTCTAATTAACACTGACATTCACGATTCTATTCTTGTGATACCGTCACAGTACACTGTTGATCATGAGTTGATCGTAACGGCATGCCCCTTATGAATTTTATGGTAGTCTAGAAATAAAATGTTCCAGTCACTTGCGGATCTCGTTCTCTCAACAAGGTATACGTGAAGAACAAACAACTCGTTGTAAAACGCGTCACCATGTGGGAGTTTACGTCAGGACGTTAAAGCCCAGTTATCTGAAACGTTGTAGTCAAAGTTCAAGCGGTTGTGCGTGATAACTCATACAATAAAATTTAGGAATCAGTGCACGTTGTTTATAGTAAACTCGTACAAACGCGCGAATAGCTTCGCTTAATGAAAAGTAATTTCGATTAACTTTTTACTTTCAAATGGCTTCGTTGTTGTAGGAAACCCTCTGTTGTAAAGTTGCTCTACCAGTATAACTTGCACATACACATCGAGGAGTCCGTCTGACTGTAATATTAATCTTCTGTTAAGCTGGGGTGGTTGCTTGCATGCTATTAACGCATAAATAAACATTAAAAATGTCTGTACGTTTGTCCGTTCGCGCTTATATACGGTACAGCTGAGCATGTTGTGATGAAACTTTACGAACTGCTAGAGAGCAATGCCAGGATAGATCCAGGCTATATTTTATCCCAAAAACTTGTAGGTTTTTTTTAGAAAAAATAGACTACGAAAACTTGATAAAATGAATGGTGTTTGTCATAAATCTAAAAAACTAATCTAAATATAATAATTCGCCACGGAGTCGTCTAAACTATAACAATACTAGCAATCCGCCCCGGCTTTGCTCGGGAGGTTTCTATGTCTCGACAAAGCCCCACCTACTGGATCCAATTGAGTTTTTAAATCATCTAGCGACCCACTCAAAAACACACAAAAAATCATCAAAGTCGGTCGAGCCATGGTCGAGTGTTTGTGAGACCAACGGACAGCAATTGATTTTTATATATAGAGTAGCTATCCGCCCCGGTTTTGCACGGGTGATTTCTCGATCTCGAGAACAGCGCCACCTATCGGTTCCAATTGTCAATTTAAACCGTTCTCGATTCAACTTAAATCACACACACACACACACACACACACACACACACACACACACACACACACACACACACCACAAACACACACACACAAACACATACACACAAACACACAGACCACACACACACACACACACACACACACACACACACACACACACACACAAACAGACACACAACAACACACACACACACACACACACACACACACACACACACACACACACACACACACACACACACACACACACAACATTTCATCAAAATCGGTCCAGCCGCTCAGGAAGAGTTCAGTCACATACACACGGACAAAACAATTAAAGATTATGTACTGGATTTGCGTGACATTTTGTAAAGGAATTATGTAATCCACCGGGTAGTGGCGGTGTAAGAAAATCTACTGCTCCATAGCTTGCCGTGGAATTCGTAAAATCCGCCAGAGGGAAACCGAGAGAGGAGATGGGCAGCAGCATCATTCAGCAACCCACGCCATATTGGCAACTATGGCAAACATCTACCCATGAGCAACGATATAAAGAAATCGCCCTCAGTCTTCGGCGGTCCGACTATTCCTGACTACGGTGACGACTATGCTATCAGCGGTGTAGGGGTACTAACAATCTTCGGTGGAGGTTCGTTTACCACCGAAGACAACTTGACCTGGTAACATTCAACGTAGCATACGTTGAGGACTGATTAGAAGATCCTGCAGATGACAGAAGAGCGGGGATATAATAGGATTATGTGAAGTCCAAACAGCTTATTAACAACTATCGTCGGGAAGGCGACCATGTAATGTATCGATAGCAAGTGTAATAGGATTTCTGTTATTTAATGTTGCAGCCAGCAACGACAGAGACGGAGGCAGGCAGTTCGTGGCCCACTGTGCTGCGCGTCAACAGTTCCGGCGGTGACTTGGCGCAGCCAGTACTGCTTACTTCGCGTCTACGAGCCGGTAACTGTTCTAATCACGATCATGTAACGAATGTGTACCATCCGCCGTGAGACAACACATGATGACATTCAAGATCATTTCCGCTTTCTCACTCTATATTTTTTATAGAATACAGGTGACAAACGAGCACACAGTGCTTACTTACTTTTCTACGTGGTAGAGCCATGCTGCAGTTATATTAGTAGTATAGTTGTAGCACGAATGGGTCGGCTCGACCGGGGAAGGACCACGCTCTCACAGAATACCAGCGTGAAATAGTAGCTTAATGCTGCTGTATTTCGTATGGTGAGTGTAGAGAACCGGAGACCCTTTTTACTGAAAATGAGGCATTCCATCTCAGTCCTCACGGGTGACAACGCATCTGCATTTTGATTTGTAATGGAAGATAGATGTAGATGTCTATGGGCCGCAGCAACCATTTACCATCAGGTGGACTGTGTGCTCGTTTGTTAGCCTATTCTATAAAAAAAAACACAGTCCACCTAGTAAGTGGATGCAGTGGCCCATAAACATCTACATCTATTCTTGATGAACAATCAAATTGCAGTGCACTTGCGTGTGCGTATGCGTATGCTTGAGTGTGTACGTGCGTGCGTACGGGATTTGAGGTTGTTACTCAATTTTTTCTTCTCTTATGCGGTAATCGTACTTAGTAGGTAATGCTGTGTGTAATTTTAGAGAAGTCAATAAAATGTACAATTTCCTTACAGACATGAGTTCACAGAATTTGTAGAGTTCTTCAATGTCTTAGATACATTAAGAGGAGGTTATTCTGTAGCCAATTATTAACCGATCTAGCTCTTGTAAACCGATTTTCAAGTTGTACCCGTGGAGACTAATGCAGTGTCGTCAGCGTAAGAAATACCTCACCATTTTCAAGTTCATCTTGGGGAAAGCATTTATGTAAATGAGAAACATGGTGAGGCCCAGTACACTCCCCAGAGTAACACCGTAAAGAACTACTGCTTCTTCAATTATATGGTCCCCAAATTCAGTTGTTGCTTCCGGTTTCGCAAATTCCTCAAATAATTTTAGCTGGACGCATCTCACCCCAAATACTTCGAGTTTACGCTCTAGGGTGGAAAAATAAACAGTATCAAATACCTTTCTTAGCAAAAAATTCTTCACCTTGGTCTAATTGCTAAATGAATAATTTGATTTAACAATATTCCGATCATGTGGTATTGAAATCCTCATAAAACAGTATCAAGTATGGTCTTTTACTGTGTAGTTGTAGTTAATTTGGTATATGCGTCATTAGTTTTAATACATAACTCGGCTACTAAGGTAAAGGCACCTTATTTCGAAGGGTTCTAAAATTTCCACCATATTCGGAGGTATTTAAAAAACTGCATTTACGAGCGATTTACAAGGCATTTTTACTGCAAGATCTCTTATATAATTGATAATATAACTTTGTGTAGTCATACGAGGGCGGCACTGAAAATTTCGGGAATCAAGGAAGTGACAAAACATTACTATTTAAAAATGTATTTATTGCTTTTCGAAGTATTCTCCGAGAAATTTGACACATTTTTCCATACGAGGGAACCAATCATTGAAGCAACCATTCCATTCGGAAGTTGGGGTCTCCAAAATGGCCGTTTTGTAGGCGCCCACAGCTTCTTCAGTTTTTGAAAATCTCTGTCCACGCAATTTATTCTTTATTTTAGGAAAAATACAGATATCATTAGGGCTTAGGTCGGGGTTGTACGGCGGATGGTCTAATAATTCTATGTTTTCTTGCTCTTTTGTTCTGTGTGCGGTGTGAGAACTCGCATTGTCGTTATGGAGGATGATGCGGTGGTTGCAGTTCTCTTTACGGAGTTCAGAAACGACATGTGGCAAACAAATGCTAGCATACCATTCTGTATTAACCGTTCTTTGTCCCTCAAGAGGAATAGTCGTAACATGGCTGGTTTTGGAGACAAACGTGGCTACCATTTTTTATGCAACACTCCGCGAACGAACAATTTTTGTTGGCTTTTACTCATTTTTGAACACTCAAACTCGTGACTGGTTTTTTGTTTCGGGTTCGTACGCGTATATCCAGGATTCGTCACCTGATACGATGTTATATATAGCATTTGAGGATCCTGCGTGGAATCTTTCGAGAGCTCTGACGCACCAAGTAACGAGAGCCGCTTTTTACTCTTCACAGAGCGAATGCGGTATCCATAGGGAAAACAACTTTTATACACCTAATTGTTCATGGAAGATTATTTGTATTTGACTCATGCCAATGTCTAAAATTGCCTGAATTTCGCGGTATGTCACATGTCGATCTTCCTCAATCAGCTTACGCACAGCATTAACGTTGTCTTGAGTGACCGCAGTTTTTGGATGACCTTGACGGGGATCACCACTGAGCTTGACACGTCCACGTTGAAATTCAGCAAACCAGCGATAAATTGTGGTTTTGGATGGGGCTTCATCACCAAATGCAGAAATCATCCGGTCAACACACTGTTTTTGTGTTAAGCCACTTCGAAAGTCATAATAAATCATCGCTCTTGAATTTTCTCGAGTCAATTCCATTTTCTCAACGACTAAACAAGTTTGACAAAACCTTGTGACAAGACCGAGAATCTTTTTTTAAATAAATAAATGGTACTCGATTTTTAAAACCAAGGAGTTTTCAATTAAAAAGATTTTAATATGACAGGAACAGTGGAAATACTCCATTCCCGATACTTTTAGTGCAGCCTAGTATCATCAAAAGTCTGGAGTAATGTGTCATACGTTTTAAAATAATTGGTTAGTTTTGCATTAGCAACTCGAACCCATGCTTCATACATTTTGAACCTAGTGAACCTAGTAGCACGTGAGTACCATTTTTTTAAATAGCGATTTTTGTGGTTAGTTTTGTACCCTGTGTGTAGTAATTATTTTAGTTAAACTATTTCAAGAATTATAATTTTAATATAAAAAACTTAACTTTTGTAAGTTTTTCTGAATAAATAACGGTGAAAATACTTCTTGGAAGCCGATTCCTTATGTATGTATTATTCCTGATCTCCGCAGAATAGCGATTTCAGATACTTGATTTATTTTTAAGCTATTGCATAGCTTTTATCGCGGGCTTTGAGCGCGGCGACCGAATCAAGAAATTCCGTAACGAAAATAACCAAACACCCCAAAACCTAACATCGTCTAACGTCGTTTAAGTGCGGCAGACTTCGGCACGGCGTTTGTGTGGGTGCGACTAGACGTATGCGTGTAGACTAGCTGCATGTATTGTAAGATAATAAAAATATTTTTAACAATAATATAGTTTATTGCAAGAAGCATATTCTTTGGATTTGTATGAGTCGTCGTCATGCTAGCAACTTTCGTGAATTTAGAGTATTTAATAAAGACAGACTTTATAGAAAATTATCGTTTGTCGGAAGAACTCGTTAATAACTTGTTAGAAGATATCAAACATCTTTTGAAAACTACGCAGCGTCTACGACGCGGATTGTCATTAAAGTAAATGGTAAGTCTTTTTAAAATACCCGTTATTTTGGTCATTAAAATATAATAACATAAATTATAAAGAATGTAATTGTATTTAATATTTATTAATTAAATATAAAATTTTCGTTTATTACTAAAAAAGGGATAGGCAACTAATGTCGACTGTGTTATTTTAATATCAAAGAAAAAACTTGAATTAATATCAAAGAAAAAAACAAAGAAATAAAATACTGCATAAATAAAATAAATCCTATACTTTTAAACGAGCAATTCTTGGATTCTTGTAATCTCGGAAACGGCTCCAACGATTTTCATAAAATTTAGTATCCAGGGAGTTTTGGGGGGCAATAAATCGATCTAGCTAGGATTTATTTTTAGAAAATGTCTTTTTGTCCGTGTTTTTAGGCAATTACAATATAAGGAGGTAAATTTTAAAACTGTGCTAATGGTCGTAATAGCTCAAGTGGATATCGAGCGGTCGCGAAATCGTAATGTCTTGGTTGGCGTCCTGTTTTCGGTCCGATTTTTTTCCTTTCTTTTCAAGTTACCTTCTTTTGTGAGAAAATCTATTATTTCGAGCCCTTTTTTAGTATTTTTAAAAATAAGAAAATTTTAATCAAACTAATTGCACTCATGATTTTTTATTCAAATAACCAATTCAGTTTTTTCTATTATGTCAATAAGATCAAAAAATATTATTCATCAGTATGTAATTTGTATCTAAATATTATTTCAAAAAAAAAAAAAACATTCGGGTCATCCGGGTACTAAATAATTACAATTGCATAAGTTGATAAAAAATGCTGTGCAATAGCTTTACCGCGGCAGTCCCCGACTGCCACACGTACTTTTTTTTTATGGGTTGTTTTTACGATTAGGTCCTTCTCGCTTTAAGTTCGACAACTTAGAAAGACAATGAATATTAAAATATATTTCCGAGGTATATATCTTTTGCGCTTTACTCACTAGTTACAGCAGTTACAGCATGTCAAAGGTGATTCTGTTTACGTATTTTGTTAATTCATTGATTGGGAAAGATAAGAAGAAAAATTTAAGTTCATACCTTAGAGCCTTAGACCATTCAACCCAATGTTACGAAGTTGTCGAGTAATGCGCCTAATGTTACGAACAAAAAAAGTCTGTCACTTTTGGTGCGTGGGAGGAAACACTACATAGACAGTACTGTACACCTACTCAATAAAATTTTGGGTCGTTATGGTACACACAAATCTAAATCTCCAACACTATTGCGTTTCACGCACACATATAGATTAAATACATCAACATAGAAAAATGTATGACAAATTAATTGCGATGCTACCACATCGATATTTTATATCGATAGTTTACCTAAAAAAAGTCACAACACAGAAAAACTCACAAGCATTAGCAAAATGCACTCGAGCAATTAAAAGTTACAGCCTATATACGTTCCACTGCGGGGCACAGGCCTCTCATTTCTGAGAGGATTTTAGTGCAAGGATGTGTCCTCCGCGCTGCCCCAATGCGTGTTGGCGAACTTCACATGTCTTCGAAATATT